TAATCCTTTATTATTTATATCACAATTGTGATTTTCAATAAAAGCATAATATTTATTTGAGTCTTTTTTATTCTCCCAATAAGCACACATAGTAGAATGCTTACTTTTAAAACGATAATCAATACATTTACCTACAATACATTTACGATAATCAATACATTTACATTTACCTGATTCAACAGAAATTAACGATACAAATCTATTTAATGATGAAAAACCCCTCTCCAGCCACGTGGCATCACCTGAAACAGTTACAACTGATGTCACAGTCATCTTCTTTAGTTCAACTGCTGTTTTTTTTATTGCCACTTCAGCAACAGAGACATAAACCTTAGAAATTTCATCTTGCGTGTGATAAAAGGTTGCTGGGCTCATTGGTGGAACCATGTTCATGAATCCAAAAACTCTATTAATTGAAGAAAGACCTATACCTATTTTGCGAAATGTTATTACAGTCCTTGAGTTAATATGAAAACCACTAGCTCCTTGGGTACAAATTTTTTGTGCAAGGTTTTACTAGAATAGGTTGAGTAACTCAATTCACAAATTTTTCAAGAGAAAGTTAGGAGGTTCGAAAGTCCTTTCTTCTTTTCTAAATTATATAAGTCCATATATATGTCCATATATAAGACGTTCATAAATAAGTCCATGTCAAACTTTACTAATATTTTTAAAATTACATATATTTTAAAAAATAATTATTTTCATGAAAAAATAATTACAGATTTGGAATCAAGGTTAAATTTTGAACAAAAATGAACGTATTATTTAAAATATTTTTTTCTCTAGATTTTAGGATTTTTAAAACCACAAGACCATCTTAAAATTGAAAGTATAATTAAAAAAACAATAAGATAAAAAAAAAAAAAATTGGTTACGCCAGCACGACGCCCCAGCCACACCGGCGCACTATGCTACCACATAATTCGCATGGCCCTGCCCCAGTAGCAAAAATTTTTGATGCAATACATGCATTGTTTATATAGTTTACTCAATGTAAAAAATTTTATGCCAATATTTTTTGCTACTTGAGAAGCTGTTTAGATTTTCATTCTGTCTTATACAATTTTAAAGTTATAAAAGATTTTTTATTTACCTTAACACCTAAATTTGAAGTTTGCTTCGTGTCTAAATCTTCTCTATCAAATACCAATAAAATGTTTTTCATTAAAAGGATTTGAATAAAACATTTAGCATGAGCGGGCAAATTGGCTCGTAGATTCAAAACCTAATTTTGCACTTCAATTTTTAATTCAGCGGCATAAACATGGTCTGATTTGTTACCCGTTTGCTCGGCTGCCGTAGTTTGCTACAGAAGTTTGTAAAATGGTAGATCGATCAGGCATTTGAAATTTTATAGTGTAATGATAAAGTATTTGATAAATGTGATATTATAATATTTTTATCACATTATTGAAATAGTTGATCGTTTTTAACTTAAAAAAAATTATTTTAATTTTCTTTAATATTTTTAAAAAAGACAACGGATTAAAAACTAAGTAAAAAAAAGGTACAGTATGCGTAGGAACATATTTAATTAACCTAAGGTATTTTAACATATTTAAGTATTTTAAGGTATTTTTTATGTTATTAAATAGTTATCTTGATAATTCAATTTAGAAGAACGCAAAATTTTTTAAATGCAATCCTAGTAATTTTGTTTTATAAGCATATCTAATAACCTTGATGTTTACTGTTAAACGTTTAGCTTTAGACTATAAGAAGACGAGTGGTACCTGGTCTTGCTGTTCATCCTTAATAATCATTCTTTATCAGTAAAAAAATATATATTTATTAATTTTTTTTGTAGATATTTCTTCGAAATAAAAATTACTTATAATTAAAACCTCAAATCAAAAGTACATCAAAAATATGTAGTATTAATGTATATTTCATATACATTTAATACAATAATATAAAATGAAATCCAAACTTTCCAACTCTCCAGCTTTTGCCCTTTGTCTCACCATTAAATTACAAATCTCACGGCCTCATGGTTGATTAATAATTCTCAAGGTAAATTTTTAAGTGTTCAGAAATATTGAATATTAAATGCCGATTTCCATGATTTGATTAATAATAAAGAATTTTATATTTGGAATACATATAAATTTGCACTTGTACATAAATCTCCGTTTTTGATTACACATGTTGCAATCTCAGTTATTTGCTATCATTTAAATGATATTTATACAACATGTTGTGCAATATTGTGTGAAAGATGTTGCTTGAAGTGCAGCATGTTGCTTAGCAATAAGTAGCTCTAAAGCCAAATATAGATTATACATTAAAATAACGGATAAAAACATATTCATAAAACACATTCAGTTCGGTGTATACAAAATACTACACCAGATCACACCGGACCATACCGGAGTATAAAAAACAATTTTGGTAGAGCGAAACATAGGTAAGTTATATTTGTGATACATATATACAATAAAAAATTATAAAAAAAAAATTAAATTTAAATTAAAAGTAGCAATAGGAGCTGTCATTCATGCTTCGATTGACTAAAATAGAGACAGGTGCAGTAGAGTATGCATACATTGACAAAATAAAATAGAGACTGACTAAAATAAGTACAGGCGCAGTGGAGTGTACATGCAGGTGCAAAGGGTTTTTTGTTAGGGCAAGCAGTCTAAAAGAATAACTTATTAATCTCGTAAAAAAGCCTACCGCTCTGCTTAAATCAAAACACATATCTATGAAAATTAATTCTTTTTTCAGAAAAATCAAAAACATTAATATGTGATAGGGATGCGCGCGCGTGAATGAAATACACCTATGCAATAAAATTCTGACTAAAATACATATTTTACTTGTGGGTACACATTTAAAATTGTTATAAAAATTTAAATTATTTAATTTTTTTTTATTTTTAGTGTAAATTTTTATTGCATTTATATATTACGAATGTAACTTATGCATATTTCACTCTATTAAGATTGTTTTTTACACTCCGATGTTGGTCTGGTGTGGTCCAGTGCAGTATTTGTATACACCCATTCTACATGTGTCTAGAATGGAAATTTATGTACAAAACAAGATAAATTGTAAAGAATACTTGAAAGCCGCTACCAGTGGCTTGCGGTAGTGAAAGAGTTAAACCATAACTAAATGTAAATTAAACATAAAACCAATAAACTCTATTGAACCATATGAACTAAATATAAAGTGAAAAACCGCATCATACTGCCTTTATTTTTCAGTCAAACTTGGTATGCAAATGATTTAGTTTTACCTGTTAAAAATTATATTTACTAATTTTACTTTTTCTTGTGTTAAAAATTACATTTTAGATTGTAAATTATCAAGGAGTTATGATTATGTTAGCTGTACAAAAGATAGAAAGATTGTATCACGTAAAAAAGTGGTTTTAAAAGAGTTAAGAAAGATTGTATAAAATGAAAAATTGCTTATTAAAGGATTAAAAAAGATTGTATCATATGAAGGAGTGGTTTTAAAAAAGTTATGAGATCACGCGAAGAAGTAGATACAAAAAAACCAAGAAGTTGTTAAGAATTATTATAAAAATGCTAAAAACCTTTTGTGTTTAAAGTTGTTCAAACAACAACATAATGTAAAGTAATGTAAAGATTTATCTTAAACCACTTACTTTTTTTAACATTTAAATTTGAATTCTATACAACTTGGCGTAAATTACCAGCCAAACTATTTATAGTAAGGTATAGATAACTTTTATATTGGATTTATGTCATTTAGTTTTTACTATTGCTAAATTTCGACAGTCTTTTTGAAGAAATTATAAATGCTTATAATTTTTTCAAAAACACTCTTCAAAAACAACAGTGTTAAAACTCCTTTTATCCACTAATTATTATACCAACAAGAATAACTATACATTTATACATTAGTTTGCAATACATTTATTTTAATACACTAACTGATCCTCTTATCCAATTTATTACTTTGCCATGTAAAACTAATCAACAAATTAAAGATTTGATTAAACATGTCATCGCTCATTTAAAAGCATTCTTTAAGTTATAGTTTTTGATTATCTCGCAATAATATATTAGGAACTTATAACCATAGAAGCCAAAACAATTTTTTTTTTTTTTTTTTTTGTATTTAATCACAATTAAATTGTGTTTTAAGTAAAGAATTTAAGTTGTTTAAATAAAAAATTGTTTCAAAATTTAAACTCATAATTTTTTCTTAGTCAAAACAAGCTATCAACATATTAATTTTATATACAAAAAACAAATAAAAAATGCATTTATATCACGTTATATATATATATATATATATATATATATATATATATATATATATATATATATATATATATATATATAATATATATATATATATATATATATATATATATATATATATATATATATATATATATATATATATATATATATATATATATATATATATATATATATACTATTGATTGTTTAAATTAAATTTGCGACTTCAGGTTATAGCTTTTTTTTATAATTTTTGCATCCTATGTTTCTTTTAATTTACCCAAGTTTTTTTCTGCATAGCTCTTAAGCTAATACTACAAAGGAACAAAGATGAGATACTGAAATATGTGTTTTCTACAAAACACTAAAATACGTGTTTTCTACAAATTTTTTAAATTTTAGTCAAAAAAACTTTTGTATATTTAACTTTTTGTATATTTAACTTTTGTATAATAACTTTTTTTTTTTTTTTTTTAAATCTTTAATTTTTAAACTTTTTTTCTTATCACATATTGATCATAATATAAATCTTTGGGGCCCAACATTTTTAGTTTACCTGCTATTGATCCAAAGAAAGACACTTTAAATATTGTGTTTTTAATTTTTTAAATTTTAAACCTCAACTCCATTAAACTTTTATGCAACTTATTTTATGATTTTATAATTAACCATTTTATAACTAACTATATCTTATCTTGTTGATATTAATTGTATAGCTTATTGATTGTTCTTTTAAAAATAAAAAAAATTAATTAAATGCATTTTCCCAATTTTTTTTTAGTTAAAAAAAACCCTGAAAAGTTTGATTGAAATTACCACCTCGATTAAACCTTTGTGCAGAGCTGTTTTGTTTATTTATTATTTGTAGTTCTTTTTTTCAGTAATACAATTATAAAATCAAAGTGAACATATAAAATGGAATATGATTGGAAAAAAGGTATGTTCCTAAATTTTAATTTTTTTTTATTATTATTATAGCAGTTAATATCCAGAATTATATGTTTTATTTTTAACAAAGTTGTTAATTTTCAAGAAACTTCTAAAAGTTTATAAGATAAAAATACATGTAATACATATATAGTTTATAGAAAAAATATTTTGGCTCTAAAAAGTAAATTCAAAGAACTAAACAGCTTCAATAGTTTTGAAAATGCTATTAAACTAGGAAGTTCACACCTCTCTCCTTACCAATGTTGCTTATTGAGCTAGAACCAGCGTTGAACCTGTTGGTTCTGGGCCAGAACTCTAACCACTGTGCCACAGCTGCACTAATTACACAAGTCTTTTCTTACAATTACTTGTTCTCTCACTTGGAGCTGTTTGAGTGCTGTTTTTAAACTTTACAAATTAGAAAAAAAAATTTTACAATTGAAGAATAGTAAGAAAGGAACTTTTTAAGTATGAAATAAGTAACAAAATAATATTTATAAAATAATAAATCGTTTCAATAAAAAAGCGATCTAAATATATATCAAAATGAAGTTTAAAAAATAGGTCAAATGATATATTTATAATATGGTACAAAACATTACAATGTAAAACTTAAAAAAGCTATTGCTAAAACACAGGCTCGGACAGGAGTGGTGTGCGATTGAATGCTACTGCTGACCGCGTAAATGATTTTTTTTGTTGACAAATTGACCACGACTATTTAGATGTTTTAATGATTTGAACATTTCAGAAATGCGCTGAAAAAACTAAGCTAAACTTGAACTACAAAAAAAGTTACAAAAAAAAACTCATAATAAAAAAAAAATTCCTTGTAAAATAAAATCTATAAGCTTCAAAATAAAACTTAATGGGATCCCTAAATTCCAAGACAAGTTGTGTTCATTTTAAAGAAAATAATAAAAAAAAATGTTTAGGCAGAATTTTTTTAAGTAAAGCAAAATAATAAATGTATACAAAGAAAAACAAACTTTGTTATTTTACTAGAAGCTTGCCGTCTCCATGTTAGCTAATCTCTCAAAGTCTATAAAATATATATCACAATCTACAGACTTTTCTTCAATAATTTATTCAAGCGTATTTTATTCCAAAGAGTTTTAGTAAATGATGTCATTGAAGAATTTTTTTTCATTTGTATCAATGTTATTTGTTTTTGTTTTATTTGTTTCATAAAATAAGCGTGTATTATCAGTCATATGACTTTCCTATAAATTTTATAAGAAGCTAAACAAAAGAATGTTTTTTTATAGAGTGTATGAGAACCAAATAAATTTAAGATTTTTATGTTAAAATGTAATAAATTTTCAAAAAAGACGTTGATCACCTTGTTATATATATGTAAACGATGTGAACTGGGGGCTGTAAACTTTATAGGGTCATAAAAACTAAAAACTAAGAAGTTATTGCATGAAATTTGAAATTCATTGATGAATAAAAACTTAGTATATATACTATACTAAGTTATATTAAATATATATATATTATATATATATATATATATATATATATATATATATATATATATATATATATATATATATATATATATATATATATATATATATATATATAATGCACTAGAAAAAGTAATCAAAGTTTCTTATTAATTAAATTTTTGGTTAAGTTTGCATAAATTTCACAGAAAGTTTGACATGATTTTAATTAAGTATGAGATCGATGTTACATTAGTTTTTAGCAGATTTTGACATTGTCTCATAAATGACCAATCTATTATGTATCTATTTGATTTTTTTTAAGTGTTGAAGTGTTTAAAACTTTTTTTATGTGTTTAATTTATGTTTGTTTTAAGGTTTGGCTGTATTTGTGTTAATTGTACAACATATTTAATAAAAAAAAGTTTATTATATTTAGCAATTTATGACATTTTACAAAATGCTGGATCAGTTGGCTTGCTATTTGATGATATAAAAAATATTCTTGGTATCCATGACAGCAATTTAGTTCAAGGGCTACTTACAGATCTTCACAGTCAATATCTTATTGAATTTACCAGTAATCAACATTATCGTCTTATTACTGGAATATATCATAACTATCCTGCCCCAATGAGTAAGTGCTCCTAAATTATCATAAATTAGCTTAACATGGAAAAATTAGGGAGTGTAGAACTAAAAATATAAAATCTGAGGTGTAAGGAACATTGTGTAAAGAATTTTGTAAACAAAATAATTGTAAAAATAAAAATTTAAAATTTAAAAATTTTTTTTTTAGATAATATCAACTATAGTGACAATGTTGCACCAATGGTCAATCAGCCTAACTCATGTAAAAATTTATTAAGTTATGTTTCGAATATGATGTATTATGTGTCCTTTGTTTATTTATATGAAGTGCAGGTAATTATTTAGCACTTGTTTAATATTCTTGTATATGAAGTGCAGTTAATTGTAAGCGCTTCTTATGAAGTTCTAATCTTTTGTCTCATCTAGTATTTTATATATATATATATATATATATATATATACATATATATATATATATATATATATATATATATATATATATATATATATATATATATATATATATATATATATATATATATATATATTAGGGCTGTACCGGATTTAATTTTTTCAAATCCGGCCGGAGCCGGATTTGCCGGATTTCTACTGACAGATTCGGCCGGAATCGGAGCCGGAGCCGGATTTCAAAACAAAACTACAGGAGCCAAAATCCTGTACATCCCTAATTGGTGTTGAGCATGGTCAACAATGTGGACTATTCAGAATACCAAGTGACTGCTGTTTTCTGTTAAACTTCATTGTTGTTATTTAAAAAGTTTTATAGCAATTTCTATATATATAAATTAATAGAAATTCTAAAGAAATTCTATAGGCCATATGTTTTAAAAGTTTATAGTAATTCTATTGAACTTTTTTTCCGGGATTTTGTCACTCCGCCATTGTAGTGGATCATTGTGTCTATTTATTTCTGGTTCTTTCGGATATTTCCTTAGCTGAGTTTCAATGCCTTTTAGTAATTGTTGTTTATGTGCCCTGCCACCAGCCGACGTAGACTGAATAATTTTATCAATAAATTGCCAGAGTAATGATGATGATGATGTAGAAAAATTATTAAGCCCGGCTTATTTTAGTGGATTTTCTTCAGTTTTGTCAATCTTCTGTTCAGCATGCTCATATTGACTTCAATCTTGTTTTTTCAGCTGTCAGTGTTGCCTGTAATGAGGAGAATTTAGTTTTAAATTGTGAGTCAACCAGCCTCGTCAGTATATAAAGAGGTTTCTCTTTTCAATGCTTTTAAAACGCTCATCCAATCACTTGATTAGGGTTGACATCATAGTCTTTATACATGCATCATTCTAGAATATCGTGTGTCTTCCCTTCAGAATTTTTTGCTGCGTAGTTGTTTTAAATTAGACTTAGCTTATTAAATTATAAAGAAATATAAATACAAATACCAAAACAAATATGAGGTTCATAAAATATAGAATTACAAAAAAAATTGAATTTTATAAATAAAATATTAGGTATACATGTAAACACGGGCAAAAAAAATGTAATAAATATTTGACAAAATTCAAAACTCCGGCTAAAATTATGCCGGATTTGCTAAATTTTTGCCGGAGCCGGATTTGGGCCGGATTTGTAAAAATGGCCGGATTTCGGCCGGAGCAGGAGCCGGAGCCGAAATCCGGTACAGCCCTAATATATATATATATATATATATATATATATATATATATATATATATATATATATATATATATATTATGTTAGTATATTCTACAAATAGAGTGCTCAATGTTCTTAAAGAACATAGCAATAATAAATTAGTAAAAACACTTATTTAGTTTTTAAAAAATTTTGAAGAAAATAAGATAAGTGTTTTATTATTTTACAGGGATATTTCAGCTAATATTGTATAAGCCATTGCTAAATTAAAAAAACCATTATACAAATTCATAAATTAAAAAGAAAATGATGTAACATATTAGTTTAACAAAAAAAAAGGTTTCCAATGGAAAAAAGGTCTATCATCACTAAGATACCATTGTTGCGATATAAGACCTTTAGTTATATTTCTTTTATATTTATTAATGTGTGTATATTTTCTTTCTCGTTTCACTGCATGCCTGCAACTTACACCACATTTCCAGTCTAATTGATATACACCTGGATAATTCTTTGGCTGCAATACGTATTTATTACAACATAAAATGTTAAGTAAAGAATTACCATAGCAACAGTTTTTCTACTTACTCTATGAAACTCTTTTTTAAGTATAATGCTTAAGTATTTTAAGTATTTTTAAGTATAATATAGTATAATGCTTAGTTTCAGTATCCATGCCAGTTTGATAATTTTTCAAGTGTCCATTTGCTGGTTTTTTATATTTTTTATGCAATAGTTTATATTTTTTGGTGGTATCTGAAAATTGTTTGTGTAAGTGTCCATTTTAAGAAAACACATTAAAAAGAAATTTTATTTCATTGTAAATATTCAGTTTTGAACATATTTTATAAGCTTTTGAAAGAAAACCTTTAAAAGTACTAATTGCTATATATGGCAAAATAAAAGAATGTGGTTTAATTAATACATTAGTAATTGCTTGCTTATGAAATATTGTAAATTTGTAATTATGAAGAAATTGATTGGTGCTAAGAAATATTTAGAAAATTTATTTGATTTTTAGAATTTTGGAATATATGCTGAATGGTCATATCTTGTGAATTTCAATTTTTCTACTTTTTCTGTTTTATAATGGCTTATAACTATATTAGTTGAAATATTGTTATAAAGTAATAAAAATATTATATAACCAAATATAATGGAATAGTTTATCATTTAAATAGTTCAACAGTTGAACATTGAACATTAGCTTAGTTCAACAGTTGAACATTGGCCATTGTCTGGCTAAAACCTCATATTTCCCGATCAATTTACGAAGTAATCAGACATTTTGACCAATGGAAATATGAGTTTTTACTAAATAAAAATTTTATTCCTCGATTTTAAGTTCAATTTAAACTTAATGTAAACTATTAGACAAACTTATAAAATTTGTTGATAACAGAAGCATTTAATCCTAATTAAAGTAATTTTTATTATTTGTAATGTTAATGGTTGTTTTTTAACAGCTTCTTTTAACAATACTAAATTAAAAAATTATTGTTTATTCAAAACAAGTGTAAAATGCACAATTAATTAATGTCAATGAGCAAATTAGCTAAAAAAAAAAATTTAAATCTATGAGAAAGATCTAAGATGGACAAAAAGTCACCCTGGAAAGTATTTATATTGTATTTCGTTCATCGCTTGGAGCTTGCACTAAAGGATGTTTTATCAAAAACAACTTTTAATGATGTAGAAGAAGTGCTTCTACATTTATTTTATCTTAATAAAAAAAGCACTGAACTTTGTCAAAATCCACAATGCCTACAAAGAAAGAATAGAATTCAATGTTGGTAAAAAAAACATTGGTAGATATTGAAATAAAAAATGCAATGGTACTAGATCGATTTCCCACAAAATTGCTGCTATAAAAATGTATCTTAACAAGTGAGGAATTCACATTCAGCACTTGGAAGATCTTTGTTAAGATCCATCAACTACAACTAAAGAACAAGATAAACTTAAGGGTTATCTAACAAAGTGGAACAGTAAAATTCTATTTCTTTTAACTATGTGTATTGACTTTTTGCATCAGAGTTCAGACTTTTTGCATCAGAGTTTTGCATCAGACTTTTTGCATCATAACTATGTGTATTGACATTTGCATCAGAGTTAATTGTTTTTATACAAAGTTATAAAATTAACACGGTTAATATTATGTATTTACTGTCGAAAACAAAGGATCGTTTGAATTTAATTTAAAAAGTACTTGAAAAACTCTCAGATGTACAATATTTTATTTTGAAAGTTACTAATAAGGAATCGTCCATAAATAACGTAACGCAAAGTTTCAAAATAAACAAAACAAAAAAAGTTTTCCCTCGCATAGTCTTAATTTAAATGAATAATCAAAATAGGAAATTAAGTTAAATGAAAATCGCCGTGTAAAAGATCTTAATATCTCCTACTTCTGTTCTTAAAATATTTTTTGTGTTGCATAATTTATTGACAAGCCCTAAGGAGGAAAAATTATTATTTTCAAATCATCACTGAAAATTTACAACTGAATACTCAATTACGTTAAATAAATGAAAAAAATAATTTTATAAACGTGTGAAAAATTGTATTATAGTTCAAATAAAAGAAGAAACATAAAGCAAGTAATTATTTAAGTTTGTTCCAAAAGTTTTAAATTTTGAAGGATCAGAAAGTAGTAGTGGAAAACCTAAGTGTTAATAACAATGAGTTTGCAGAATTACGACAAGTAATTGAATGACTTTTTATCTTTCTAGTGTGCAACGCTAAGCTAGAAAGAATGTTTTTTGAGATGTAATTAAAACTGACTTTAGATACTCCTTGACTTCTCAATAATCAGAACTTTTAAAAATAGGCAATTAGGTTCACCTGTAGAAAAGTTATGCCAACAATTTAAAGATGGGGCTTTACTTTTCAGATAATTGATTTATATTTTACATGGCATTCAAAAATAATATATATATATATATATATATATATATATATATATATATATATATATATATATATATATATATATATATATATATATATATATATATATATATATATATATATATATATATATAGATTTAAATTTTACTTTATTTTACCAGTAATTATTACTATATTTAATATAGTATATATTATAAAATATATATCAATACTACCCATTCAAAAATCCAGTCAAAAAAAAGTCAAAATAAAATTTTTTATTTATTATCTTTTTTTTTTTTTTTTACTTAAAAATAAATTTTAAATAAACGTGTTCCGAGGCTGCATCAAAAGTTTGCACAAAATCTAAAGTTAAACTTTTTTTTATAGTGCAAGTTGAAGCGTAGCAATTATTTTTTAATAAATGGTATATTCAGTGATATAAGTTTAATAAATGGTGTTTCGAAAAACAATCTTTGCTTTCGAAGCAAAAGCACTTATAAAATAATAAACTCTTAATAAATAAAGTAAATTAAAAAATAATTTTTTTATTTGTTACTCTCTAATTTTTTTAAAAATAAAAAGTCATTTTTATTTGCAAAGCCATAGTTAGAAATTTAGGTAATAATCAATTTTAAAAAATTGACATTATTTAATTCATTTATACAAATGTTGAGAAAAGAAAGAAATTTGATCATGTCAAACACTTTTAAAAATGTAATATTAAATCTAAATATTCAATATAAATAAAAAATTATAAGAAAATAATTTTAAAAAGTCGATGTCTCTAAAAAATAAAGAAAATTTTATGATGTCAAATTCACATTAGGCATTAAGCATTTTTATTTAAAACAAGGCCTGCAGTGTCTACATCAGGCCTTGCGATGGTTTAGGAAAACAAATAATGCTAATAGATCAACATAATAAATTAGCGCAATTTTTTATTCTTGTAATGAAACTAGTAAATGCTATTTGTCATGCCTCGAAGGTCATTTATGTTTCACGTGTCGGGAAGAATCGCTCCTGATTTATCGCAAGGCCTGCTACATATGAAGGTCTTTACATACAGTGTCGTCATATGAAAGAGCACAAAAAGTGTTTTGATTTGCTTTACATATTTTTTTATTTTTTTTTAGATAATATCAACTATGGTGAAAATGTTGCACCAATGGTTAATCCGTCAAACTCATGTAAAAGTTATTCTTTTTTTAATTTCATTGTATTAAACTTTTGACAGTAATTTTATTAGGAATGCATATTGTAGAATCTGGAGAGGGTTCTAAAGCACTGAGAAATGCGGAGAAATACAAGATAAGATAAAAGTTTTTTAAGCAGTTACTGTAAAAGGATAGGACTGAACAGACAAGTCAAAAAAAATTAATTTTCTCAGCAAGAAAGCTTGGTTGAGTAGCAATTACAATAGTAAGAACAGAGAAAGGGGTGCGTCAATTATGATGACAAAAATAAAGTTTTGCTGTCAAAACCTGCTTAACTATTTTTTAAGGAGTTTTTTTTCCATGAATCCAAAGTAAAATCAAGTAGTAGATTAAGTCAATTATAAAGAGGAAAACTAGGATTATTGTTGAATTGATACTTTAATTGGTCAAATTGATGAATAGATCTCTAATAAATAAGTTACTTTTAGCCATTATTATTAGAGCTATTATTACAATTTAATTTTACCAGTCAGCAAGCCCCGATCTGACGGTAATCTCAAAGGATTACAAATTGATGTTTTGAGGCTGGAATATTGCATCATTAGCAATCATACAACTGTGTCAATAATAATATCCCAGATCATTGTGTAGTTGAATTTTCTTATCTTCTGTAATTTTACTACTACTTTATATCAGTTAACATTTCGATTTTTTTAAATTTTTTTTTTACAAGTTTATATCAGTTAACATTTCTATTTTTTTTTAATTTAATATTGGTATTAAATTAAAAAAAAAATAGTTTTTTTTTTTTTTTTAATTTTTTGTTAACTTAATTGTAGTGGTCCCCAACTAGGCAATGAGGGCTACTACAGTTAAAAAAGTTACTTGCTTGTATAAATTTTTATTATTTTTTTTTTAACCCTTTCAATACTACAATACAATACAGTAAAAAGTTCAAATAATAAATGACAATTTTTATTCAAAATTAGTGAAAACCTTTATCAAACTTTTGATATTTTAATTTTTTGATATTGTTAACTTAATTGTAGTGGTCCCCAACTAGGCAATGAGGGCTACTACAGTTAAAAAAGTTACTTGCTTGTATAAATTTTTATTATTTTTTTTTTAACCCTTTCAATACTACAATACAATACAGTAAGAAATGTTAACTGATATAAACTGATAAAAAAAAATTATTTCAACATTTCGTATGTATTTATTGCACGATTAACATTGTTTGAAAACTGAAAATTTATTTTTGTTTGAACATTATTTATTGAAAGTTATAAAAATACTTATGAACATTTATTGAAAGTTATAAAATTACTTATGAAATTCTTAAAACTTTTCTTGAGTTATCTTTGAATAATAAAGAACTAAATGTTGTAGAAAATACTTTAGTAACTGTGTGGCATCTTATAATGGTTTATTAGTAATGCAAGTTTTATACATGTATTGATTTTTCCACAAAAACAAACTTTATTAAAATAATTTATGTTTTAATAAAAAAAATAAGTTGTTATCTTGGAGAAGTGTTTACTTCTTTTAATCTAGCATGAAGTATGTACTAAATACGATTGTGAAATCAGAAACAATTGCATTGAAAATGATAACTTGTTGGTTCTTGCAGCTCATAAAAATATGCTTTCAAAACATGTTTTAAAAGCAAAAGGCCTTGGCATATTTTAAAAGCAAAAGGCCTGGGCATATTTTAAAAGCAAAAGGCCTTGGCATATTTTAAAAGCAAAAGTTTAAAGGATATTTAAGCATAGAATATATTATATTGAATTATGTTTTACAAATTAAATGAATCATCAAAACTGGTGAATTTGAAAGCATATTTCACAATTTTATGTACAGGGACCATCATTCATTTCATTCAGCATTTAATCTCTAGTTAACTGCAAACCCTGCTACAAAATAACGCAGGCTCAATAAAATGTTTTTAACAAAACACTTTAGCTATAATATTTGCTAATTTGAAAATTCGCTATATGAAAATTTTTAAACTAGCAAATAGCTAGTTTAAAAAGTTATCCATTATTATCTCATTATCTAGCAACTAATAGAAAAAAATAACTTTTACATTTGTTTCATAAGTGTCCTATAACCTATCCAGAGTTTCCCATCCAAAAAAATTATCCAGATAATAGGGACAAAATATTCATGCTAATATAATAGATAAAAAATTCTGAAGTCATAAATTATCGAGTTTTTCGTTTTTGCTTTGGAGTCCCAGAATCTCAAAAAATCTATGGAACTTCTCATCCCTGCAGCTGTTACATAAATTTGTTATAAATAGTACATATGGTTTTATTTCTATTTTGTTTATTCCATATTTCTTAACATTTCAACTTTTTTTTTTATGCTATATATACTGCATATGGTATAGTATAGTTTATTTTTCTAAACATTTCAACTTTTTTTTATTTTCAATCTTTTTTTTTTTTTTAACTGCTTGAAGCCTTAAAAGTAACAATTTAAATTAACCAATCAAAATTATTCTTGGTTCATTCATTTAAAAGTAAATGTTACAAGTGAATGAACCCATGTATAATGTAAGTATAAAAAACAATGAGTATACACAAATAATGTTAAGTGTGTTTTAAGGCCATTTTCCACAATATAAAATATTGGCATAAAGCAAATTTTTTTTTGTCAATAGGCATGCGTAAATAAAACATTTCTGCTAATTTTGCTGATCAATCAAATTGCTGCATTGATTTATGTCGGATTCATTTTGACTTTTTGCAGATAGTTTTGAGCAAAAGCCAATCATATTTTAAATAGTATATCATGTGATGTCAACAGTAAAAAAATGCGAAAGCATGACATTTTTTTAAAATAGCAACAGTAATAAACTACAACAAACAAAATGCTCAACTTGGTGTTCTTTTAATTTACTTAGAATTCACCCTGAAAATTGGCAAGCATTAGTAAGTTCATCAAATAAATATGAATTTACTAATTCTGTCTACTCTAAAAGTTTCACAAAAAGGTTGATCTTCATTCAGAGTTACTTTGTGCTTCGTTGCTTTGTGCAGTAACTGTTTTTCCTCAGAAGTGTTCCTATAAAAAGTTAGCATTTATTTTCTTAAACATTTTAAAAAAATATTATATCAAATTACTATTTTTTATATTTATATATATATTTTTTAAAAGCACGCAGCCTATACTTGTAGCTGCCATTTTATTATTGATAACAAAAAAAAGTATCGCAAAAAATATGTGGAAATCAAAATGTTACGACAAAAAAAAATTGTGGAAAGCAAATTTTTTTATCAAAAAATTTCATTTTTTCGACAAAAAAGTTCACATTATACAATTTTTTTGCATGCATAAATATAAAAAGCAAAAAAAAATGGCTGTAAAAAGTGTGTTATATACATGATAATTGATTTATTATGGTTTCTATTTATTTTCATTGCTTTATTTTTATTTTTTTCAGATAATGTTAATTATGGTGAAAGTATTCAACAGCAGATGATCAATCAGCCTAAATCAGGTAAAATAGTTATTACATTTTAAGTAGCTATTTATATCAAATTTATAAATTTCTAAAGTGTAATAACCAAGCTTAAGAAAAGTTAAATGTTTTCTGGAGAAAGTTCAAATAAGAATGTTATGCCAAACAAAAGTATTAAAAAAATAAAATTCACTGGGTTATAAAATTATAGTGGTCAAAACAGAGATAAGTATTTATTTCGTGCATTTATTTTTTTCAATTTGTTTCATTTTCGCAAAGTTTTTTAGTTTAAATTCTCTCTAAGGAGATTTAATTACTTAATGATATATTTTGCATATTTAAAACCTTAAAACACTAACTATAATCTAGACAGTTTTTCAGACAAGGAAAAAAAAAACAAAAGAATAATTCAATTATCCTAATTCAGAGGGCTGTATATATGTATTAGATAAAATATATGTGTGTATGTGTGTGTGTATATATATATATATATATATATATATATATATATATATATATATATATATATATATATATATATATATATATATAGATATATATAGATATAGATATAGATATATATATATATATAGATATAGATATAGATATAGATATATATATATATATATATATATATATATATATATATATATATATATATATATATATATATATATATATATATATATATATATATATATATATATATAGATATATATATATATATATATATATACACACACACATACACACATATATTATATATATATATATATATATATATATATATATATATATATATATATATATATATATATATATATATATATATATATGTATGTATGTATATATATATATATATATATATATATATATATATATATATATATATATATATATATATATATATATATATATATATATATATTAAACTGGTAAATTAATGTTAATGTTAAGTGATAATTATTCTTAATTTATTCTTAAAATCTTAGCCATTGTTTTTTTTTGAAGAAATTAAATATTTAGAAAAGCTGAAAAAAATTTAAAAAATGCGAGTTGATCTATTGGGTAGGCTACAACAAATGAGCAATTTTTCTGAAAATTTCTAGAAAGTTCTGAAAACTTCAAGTTTTTATAGTTTGAATATCAAATTTAGTTTCATTCCAGATTGAGCAGACCACCAAAATAAAATTTGGAGCTTTTAAAACTGCTTGTTGAAAGCAATCCAAAGTTAACTATGCTCTGCATAACAAGCATATTTGAATAAACTTGAAAACTGCTTGAAATGTAAAAGTTTACCAAGCTCAGCATTTGAGTTTCACACATACTTAATCCTAATCAGCCAGTTCAGCAAGGAAGCAATGGCATGAACCATTTGGCTTTGCAATGCTCAAATAACTTGACCATGTCATTATTGGTTTTTTATAATGTTTTAATAGATTTTTTCAAACCAAAAATTATTAATAATTATTATTATTATTTACTCATTTAATTATTAAATTAAATATTAAATTGTTTAGACATATATGGTTTGAAATTTGAAAACATTAAATCTATTTGTCCTGTAACAAATTCTACAAAGCTATAAGACTATAAAGCTATTAAAGATGTTTGTGAAATGACATTTAGTTACCTAATTAATCTACCTGTTGTCTTAAACCTGGTAACCCTGTAACATAACATTGGTCTCATATATGCGCTAAGAGAAAACGAAAATTAAATTTTAAATCTATATTTTCAATTGTTCTTATTTTCCTGCAAATGGAGTTTTGTTTTTAAATTTGAGTAGCCACCCTGAATAATTAGTTTGAAACTCTGTAATATATAAATACACAACTAAATTAATTATCTTGCGCAAACTTTATTTTCCATTTTTTTGACGCTCATGATTTTAGATGGTTTCATAGTCTTTGTGTTATGTATTTTGGTCTAGATGTGTTTTTATAATGATATTTTTTTTAGTTATTTTAAATATGCTAAAGCGATTTTTTTAAACCAGATGCTCTATCTATATAATGTAAATCTGTTTTGCAATTCAGTGTTGAGTACTTTTGTTGTGATTTGCTTCAAAGAAAATTACCACCCAATGTTTACAAGCTCCTCATATACTCAAAGTTAAATTAGAGGTTTCATATAAGATATTCTTTTTCTTTTTGATTTGTTTTGATTCTCTTTGATTTGATTTGATTCACTACAGTTAAAGAGCCTTACCTGCCCCATTAAAGGATTAGTAAATTTAATACCAAGATGTTTGTGTCTATCATTCAATTCAATCAATAATTTAACAAATTCCAATTGTTTAAGTATTAAAAATTACATTTAAGTAATGTTGTAACTAAATTCTCTTATAAAGTTGTAAATGGAGTTAAGATTTTTTATATACATTTTTTTTTGTGTGTATTTTTAATTTCTATGCTTTGATAATGGTATACTAAACCAAACTCTGATTTTAATAAAATTGTAAGACTTATTGTTGTTGGTTTGATTTTTTAAATTTTATGGTTTCATTTTTTAGCTGTACCTGTGATTTATCTTCCTGGTACAAATAAGTTTTGCTCCTACAAAAATAGTTTACAAGAATATTGCCAAAAAAGTCGTTTACCAACACCTTCATATAAAGTAGTTTTAAGTGGGCCGGGAATGTATATTGGTAATGTAACATTCAACAACACCTTAGTGCATGGAACAGTAGCATATCGAATTATAAAAGAAGCTGAAAATAATGCTGCATTTGAAGCTCTTAAGCAGCTTGGGTATTTACATGAAAACAGTATTTATATACCTATAGCTGGTAAATTATTTTTTATTTTTAATATTGTTTAATAAAATTCAAAAAAAAAAAGTAAATCTAAAATTGTTTTATTTTATTTTTTGTAAATCTAAAATTATTTTATTTTAATTGTTTTATTTTAGTTTTTATATAATTCATATATTTTTGTTTTTGGTAATAGGTGTAAAGCGCTCAAACGATACCCAGGATCCATGGTATTCAAAGAAGCCAAAACCTGCATTATGTTCTAGTTTTAAAAGTAAATTAAATGAATTAGCGCAAAAAAGACATCTTGGAACACCAACTTATCAAACTATATACTCAGCTGGAGGTTACCTTTCTACAGTAGTTTTTAATGGCAGAGAATTTAAAGGTATGTCCCCCTGTATGAAAAAAAAGGATGCAGAACAAAATGCAGCATTTGTTGCATACAATGTTTTATCTAATGACTTATCTAGTCTACCGCCAGTTAAAGCACCTGCTGTCAAAAAACCACCACCAGTCAAAAATTCGCAACCAATGATAAGTTTTATATCTCAAAATCAAGATCAAAAAACAAATAACACAGGTAGTTAACTTTTTTCGAAGATACAATAATGCATTTTATTTGTGTAATCTTTTATTCTACATAGCAGTAGAATCTATAAAATCAATTATCGATTACTTTTAGTTTTAAAAATGTTAAAAATTATAACAGATAGAAGTTTCCAATAAGACGCTTATTGCAAATATATTTGAAAATGGTTTAATCATTTAAAATGGTTTGTTATTAAGATTTTAAAAAAGAAAATTTTTTTTTAGAAATAAGTAGATCTAGTTGCTTTTTTTTTTTCTTTTAACAGTTCACTGTTCTTTCCAACTTTTCTGGAAAGTATAATGTTTGTCATACATTATGCCAAAAAATACCATGATTTTCAGATTTTATAAATGTATTAACATACTTCCTAAACGGGTTGAGAATGAAAGACCTATTTGGGGTGACTTTAAAATAAGCAATACACTTAAAAAAAAAAAATAGTTTATAGCTATAGTTTATAGCTAGATCAATACAACCTAACAGAGAAAAATACTGTTAAAGTTATATATAGGTATAATGTTATAATTATTATATATTTTAGGTGGCAGAAAATCTATTTTGTGTAGAATCTTATACTTATCTTATGCTCAGTTTAAATAATGTTAAGCTTATTAGCATATTATATTTATGCCAACTAAATCAAAATAATGCAATGTATAGCTATATCAATATAATTGCTTCACCATTTAATAAACTATTTAATAAACATTTAATAAATTAAATAAATAAAAATTTAGTAGGTAGTGATGTTTATTTTCACACATTATTGGCGGTAGCTTGTGCAAAACCTTATTTATAACAGCTTTCACAAAAAGCTACTCTAGCAAGCATCTCCCTTCGGCTTGTCGTGAGCATTTTAAACCACCAATTCTCTAGTATTGGTCTTGTTTACTCCATCAATGGTTTGTATACATAATCTATGGTTTGTATACATCATCTATGTTTTGTATACATTATCTATGGTTTGTATACATATATTTAAAAAAAGGTTCATTATTTAAATAATTATAAAATTCAGAATGTTGTTGTGTCTTTATTTTTTTGTTTTTGTATATGAAAGTAAAAATAATTTAATTAATGTTTTGAATTATTAATTAAAGGTATTTTCAATAATATGATCGAAGCCATAAGTACTTTAATCTAATAAAAAAAATTTTCAATTAAATTTTGAATGAGTAAATAAATTTTTAAAGAAAAAAAGTTAAGTGCACCCTGAATTGCACCTTATTATATAGTAATAAACGGTGCTTAAATGTAAATAATCTAGTCACTATTTTTCAATGTAGATAAATGTATTTTTGAGGTTTAAAAAAAAAAGAAATTTAAAAATCTTCAGAAGAAAAAGACAATATTCAGACTCCTTAAATGAACAACTTTAAGTTTTTATGTCACGGGCGAAATCACTGTGTATCCAGTTTAAACTAAAAAAAAAATTACAAAATTAATGATATTAGCATAAGTTGAAATAATGACTGATGATACTAATGAAATGATGGCATGAGTTAAAGAAATGGGTATTAGCATGAGTTAAAATGAGAAAGAAGTTCACATGATGAACCTTTGGCTTGTATTAAAAGTTTCCTAAAGAAGGAAAAATATATTTATAAAAGTTAACTAAATTAAAACTTTGTTTTCACAGTACATATGCAACAATAAAACAGTATAGTAAGCTTGCTACAATTAAATTGAATCAATTTAGTGAATAATTGAATAAAAAAATAAAATATACACAATTCTTTTAACTATTCAATGATTGTAACCAAAAAGTTTGAACCTCATTTGTAAACTTGTCAAATGTAAATTATTTTAAAAAAATCAATTTTACAATTGATCTTCTAAAATGATTTACATATATTTGAATTGTCTAAAAAGCAAAATATGTCTAGAACTTAAAGATATAAACAAAACAGAACTGTCTTTTTTGTTTACAGTTTTATTTTATAAGCAAATACTAATGGAATCTCTTTAGAAAATTGCCAAAATAAATTAATTATTGATATATTAACAAATAACTTAATCATTTTTAAGACCATATTGTTTCTTGGAAAGAAAACTTTTAGTTTTTTAATTGTTTTATAAAATCTGTTTTAATAAATGCATGCTACTCTTTGATGGCAATAAAAATTGAAAGTATGTTTAAAAAAAGTTATTTGAAACATACTTGAATTGTGTTATAAAAGAAAAACTAAATCTTAAATTTTGAGTTTTCTTATTTACTTAATCTTTGACTCCAAGTAAAAAAATTCTATTTTCAACTTTAATTATAGCTTGCTAAAAAAGTTTGAACTTTGTTAGGTTTTAATATATTTTATATTATTGCTTATATGATTTTTTTAACTATGAAAAGTTTAATAATATAAAATAGTTAAAAAAAATTTTTTTTAATGTTTTAAATCTTGGTGTGTATGTTAGTATTGTTGAAAAAGCAAATTAAAAAAAAATGCATATTTAAACAAAAGTTAACATAATTTACCACAAATAAATCAACATTAATAATATTTATAAGGTACAAATGTTCCTTAGTTTTTGTTTTCGCAGAACTAGAGCATTGTTTTAGTTTATAAAAAACTATATTTTTCTAAAAGTGATATGAATATTAAATATACGCATACATATATGCAAAAAAACTTCCATTATATTTATAAACCAAAACAATAGCAATTAATTTTCATAAAATTGAATAATTTTTATTCAGTTGACATGAATATTATTATATTATATAAATATTATAACAAGGTTAACTTATTTTAAATACAAAAGGTTATTTGATCTCAAATCTTTCTTCTTTTTCTTTCATAAACATATGAACTCTCTTGAAGTTATCTCAGTTGGTTTGAACAAGATTGTCAGGGACTAGATCGTCATAGATTCCATTTCAAAATTTGACTAGTAAAACCTTAAAATAATTTAAATTTTTGCATTTTTTAGTTTATGCAAATAATCTATGCAAATGCAATAATCTCTATGCAAATAATCTAATGGTTTTAAATCTGAACTGCTAGCAACCCATTCTGACGTTAAAATGAAATAAGAAAAAAAATTTTTAAACAATACTTGAATGGTTTTTGTTTTATATGCAGAGGCTTACTGAAAAGTATATGGACAATCGCCAAACAAACTATCAACATGAGTTTGAACCAGCAGCTCTATTTAAATATCATTTAAATAGAACTGCTGGTTTATAATAATAATAAATAAATTTTAGTTTCCAAATTTAGGTTCCGTATTCTATTTGCTATTGATCTTCCTGATTGAGCTAGATTGTATTTAATTTGCTCACAAATGGTTTTTTTGAAATTTTTAAACAGTCCGCTATTTTTTTTCTAGTTTTTTAGGTGGTATTTCATCATTAATATCCTAATAATGTTTTGTGGTAAGATATATCAACTTGAGGCCACATCTTTTGAATCCCCTCCCTGTATAATAAAAAAAATGTTTAACAGTTTTAAAAAAATGTTTTTCCTTTTTAGAAAAGAAAAAATCCATGGTTAACCAACAAAACCATTCAAACAATGCATCTCTGTCCCTGTCTTCCAAGAATCGACTGCAAGAATATTGCCAACGTCTCAAAAAAGCCCTTCCTCAATATAAAACTGCTTTAAATAGTGATAAAACTAGGGTGTCTACAGTAATTGTTGAAGGTGTGCATTATCAAGGTGAGGCAAAAGTGTTTAAGAAAGAAGCAGAATTAAGTGCAGCTTCAATTGCACTTAAAGCTTTAGGGTTAGCAGCTTAAAAAACTATCATTGAAATTCAAACAATGGTGCTCAGCTATTCAAATTAAAACAGACAATAATGTTCGCTTATTCAAGAATAGCAAATTTTTTTAAAGTAAAAAAAAACAACAGATTTACAAAAAAACAGACACCCTGTTTTGTACTGTTAAGGATATTGTTTATGTTATGTAGTCTTTTTCTAGCATTTCGATGCTCAGCATAAACAAATTGTAAATTTTAGCATTTTCAAAGAAGACATATATGTATACTTATATATATATATATATATATATATATATATATATATATATATATATATATATATATATATTATATATATATATATATATATATATATATATATATATATATATATATATATATATATATATATATATATATATATATATATATATATGTAACTTTAACAGTAATATTTGAAGAAGAATCTGTAGTTGTGCAATCATCATCATTTTTATGGAGTATAGACTTCTTGTAACTTTTTGTGGCTTATTATGTTTACGAGTCAGATTTTATGAGTCAGAAATTTTTAACTATTGGATAAATTTTTGTTAGTCTGAGATTTTCAAAAGTTCTGTATTTCATAAGTATAAATTTGATTTTCTGAATGAAATAAAAGTATTTTTTTTTTAATAATCTTCATTTGTTTTTAAAAATGTTTTCTTTTTAAACTAAAACAAATTAAAAATTTTCTAGCTGCAATTAATGCTTTCTCCATTATAAATATAGTTTAAATGAGTTAAAAAAAAACATCCAAGTGGTACCCTCAATAGCATTTCGAGTTTCACTATCACCAGTTTACTCTTCTTTTACTTTACCAGTTTAAATATTATAAATGTTAAATTGAATTTGTAAATTTACTCCAGTAGCCATCAGCAGTTAAATAATGTAAAATAGTCTATACCATCTAACCTTACTTGACTTTTTTTTTATTTTATTATAGTTTATATGATTATTGTCTTTATACTAGATAATTTGCTTTGCTACAACCAGAACTTGTCAACTTTATGCGTGTACGCTTCACTGCTTTTGTCCCGATGCGTAATTAATGTATTTAATGTAACTAAAGTATTTGTCAGTGTGTAACTAATGTATTTTAATATAATTCTGGCTGGACTTTGCTTCAATCATTTTATAAGTCAGTTCATTTGCATTTCACTGAGAGTATTCCTTACTCTTAGTAAAAGTAAGTCATCAGGGTATATGTGTAGTTGTATTTTTTCGGTACTTGTGTGTACCACTAAGAATATCCCCCTTGCTCATAAGAATATATTTAGTTATAAATTATCTAAGTCTTTTAAATTAAAGTTGAAAATATAATAAAGAACATTCAAAAGATGTTTGAAAGCCTTCTTTTTAACATGTGCCCACTAGGTGAATATTATCATGTGCCCACTAGGTGAATATTATCAATAATGTTTATATATTATATTATCTAAGTATAACATATTTTTTTTATAAACTTTAAATACTCAAGGCAGCAGAAAATAACTTAAAAAAATCAAAATAGTTGTTACATTATGTTATTGGCAGGAATTTGTCTTAATAATTTTATGTCGTCATATGGCATGCACCAGTTATGTATCCCATAATAAAGCATATAGTATAATGTAAAATATACACATTTAAAATATTAATGCCTAGGCCACAAAGCAAGTTTTTTATTTGCTTTGTGGCCATTATTTGGTTTCTTAGAGATTACTTGATTTTCTTCATGTAAAACCTACATATAGATTACCTACATGTTGAGCCTACATATAGATTTCCTTCATGTAGAGCCTGCATATAGATTTCCTACATGTATAGCCTACATATAGATTTCCTACATGTAGAGCCTACATATAGATTTCCTATATGTAGAGCCTACATATACATTTCTTACATGTAGAGCCTACATATAGATTTCTTACATGTAGAGCTAACATATAGATTTCCTACAGTAAATGCAATTTTTCTCCAGGGTCAGAAAAAGTTAAAATTTGTTGATCTATGTAAAAGTATTATATCAAAATATTACATTTGAATTATTATTACATTTGAAAAACAACAGTTTCATCATATTTGATGATATTTTCTGTATTTTGTAAAGTTCAATATGTTCATATAAGGCTATATATATATAGTTGTATCATTACACATTAATGATTGTAAAACAACGATGGGTAAGGAAGAAACGATGGTGTTTGCTTGTCTCATCATTTTTGATGTTGATTGTTATGTTTTTTTGCATATTTCTGAATGATTTTGTGATGGCTGGATGGTTTCACTATCCATTTCCTGAGAAGTGTGTTTTATCAACAGCTACAAATCTTTTAAATGATCAGGTAATAAAAAATTTCTTTATTTTGAGTTAAAATTATCAAAAGAATTTTAATGTTTAAATTACTTTTTAATTAAAAGTAGTTATTTTTTTAATAAAAATTGATTTTAATTAAACATTAAATTGAAGATTTTGAATGTATGAAAAAATATTCTGTTCTGGGCATAATAATAGTTTAATTTGGGAGTATGAATAAAGCTTGATGCCAATTTTTTAAGTGAAAACATTTTAGACCTAAAAAATAAAATTTTTGTAAATAGTTATCACAATAAGTACATAGTGTAACACTAAATATAACACTAAAAAAAAGCACTCTAATCTATAAATACAAAAATGAGCTCTTGATTTAAAGAATGATTAGATGTTTGAAGTTTAAATGTTTAATTTATATCATATTTTAATGTAGTTCTGTATTTTAATGTAGTTCTGTATTTATTAGTGCAATAATTTCACCAAAGGTTTTGCATTTGGTCTTTTGTGTGAAGCTCTGTGTTTAAGTAAAAAAATAACAATAAAAACTTGCATACATCATGGAAATACATATGTTTTTATGGCAAAACATAATGGAAATAATATTATTATTAAAAAAAAGAAACCACGCGATGTTCGATATTTGTACAACTATTTTACTGGTAAGTGTTTATTTTTTTGTATTTCTGATAATTTAGTAATGGATATATATATATATATATATATTATATATATATATATATATAAATTTTAAAAACATTTTTTTAATAAAAAACAATACATGTTTCAACGAACACTAGTCATCATCAGTTAAAATTAAATATTTAAAATTTGTTAAAATACCTATAAAGGTGTTAAAAAAAAGAACAATACAAAATATAATTATTCTTGTACAAACTAATAATAATATAATTACAAAAATATAATAAAATCAGTTAAAAAGTTTATCATGTCATGCAAAAGAAAAGGTTAAAAAGATACACAATATTTATAAAAAATAGCAGCTAAAGTGTCATTTGTACACGGTTAATATGTTTATTCATACCAGGCTTTAACCATTCTATAAACATACTTTCTTTAAGTTTTAGCTCAAATTTGTTAGATGCCGAATCTAACACAGAAAAACACTTATCATTTATTTGCATGAAACAATTCTTATTAGCATAGAGATGTTTAAAGATGTGAGACTTTTTGTCCCTCTTGTAATGTTCAGATATCCGTGTGTTGAGATGGCGAGTAGTTTCGTCTATATAATAGGAGTTACATCCTGCGCATACAAATTAATACACCACAAACGATTTGAAGATCCTATTCCTCAAGAGTTCAAATCGTATATATATATATATATATATATATATATATATATATATATATATATATATATATATATATATATATATATATATATATTTATATTTATATATATATATATATATATTTATATATATATATATATATATATATTTATATATATATATATATATATATATATATATATATATATACACGATGCACAGCATGTCACGAAACCTACTTTTGGCAATAATACCCTTAACCTGGTGCTTACTGACTGCCCCTCCAGAGTTATAGAACTCAATATTGGTCCATCTCTTGGCAGCTCAACTAAAAATAATTTTCATTGCACTCTTATATTGAGTTTCTTATTTGAACCATTAATCTCCCTTATTAGGCTGTTATCACTAACCAAACCAAACTATGCTAGAGGTGATAGTAAAAACCTAAACAAATTTTTTACAGATACAGAATGGAGGAATCAACTTAAAAAATTCAAAAACAATCCCATTGTAATAAACCAACTTATTGAGTTTTGATACAAGGAAGGTCTAGCTAAATATGTACCAAATCAAGTTTCATCAACTCAAAAACAGAGATCAAAACCAAAATGGTTTACAGCAGGTATTAGAATTCTAACAAAAAAGAAATTAAACCTTTAGTCGAAACTGCTAGTCAGCTCACCCACTACTCATTTATTTATTAGCCCAATCTACAAAGTTACTTGCAAGCAGTTAAAAAAAGACATCCTTGCTGCTTGTAAAAGTTACGAATCGAAACTCACCTCACTTTCAAAATCTAATCCAAAATTGGTGTACAGTTATATTTTCAGTCAAAAAAAAGCAAAGTTTACTGTTCCCTCATTGATGAAAAACGGCATAGAGCTAACAAAAACGCTTGAAAAAGCAGAATGTCTTAATAAACAGTTTAAGTCTTCTTTTTCTAAAGTTGACCAAAAGGACAAGTTCACAATCTCAACCAGGACTGATCAGGTATGCAAGATTGATCAATTCGATCTTAATGAAAGTGCCTATTTTGGTGAGTTAAGTAACTTAAAAAAATATAAAGTGATAGGCCCAGATGGCATAAGTCCTTATGTTCTCAATGAGTGTGCCATTGGATTAGCTTGGCCTATTTATTTTCTAATAGTGTCATCATTTGAGACAGGTATTATACCAAATATTTGGAAAGAAGCGAATGTGATACCAATATATAAAGAAAAAGGTAAACAAAATGACCTATCTGAATATTGACCAATATCTTTAACAGCCATAATATGTAAAATCATGGATGATTGTTGAAAAAACATATGATAAGCCACCTAATTCAGTACAAATTAATCTCTAAGCATCGACATGGCTTTGTAAGACAAAAATCATGTGTTACAAATTTACTAGAGACGATAGACATTGCATCAGAGGCATTGAACTGTGGACTTTATGCAATCATAATATATCTGGATTTCGCTAAAGTCTTTGATAAAGTCTGTCATGAAGCGTTATTTGTCAAATTAGAGGCTTATGGTTTCAAAGGTAAATTACTGAGATGGCTAAAAGCATTTCTTCTGGAAAGAAAACAAAGAGTTCTTGTTGACGATAAATACTTTGAGTGGATAAAAATTCAGAGTGGTGTGCCACAAGGATCTGTTCTAGGTATTTATAGTGTATATAAATGACATGCCAGATGTTGTCAAATGTTCACTCAAGCTCTTTGCTGATGACAGCAAACTAATAAATACAATAAAAAACCCATTTGACATTAAGCAGCTCCAGACAGACCTTGATGCTAGGGCTAAATGGGCAGATAATTGGAAAATGGAATTCAATGCAAACAAATGCAAAGTATTAATGATAAAATAAAAAAAAAATCCATGATCACAAATTCAGCATACGAAATCAAGATAACAGCCGCACATACTTGTTGTCTTCCAACCATGAGCAAGATCGTGGAATTTTAATAACTAGCGATCTAAGATGGTCCGCCCAGTCAAAACATGCAGCAGTCAAAGCTAGTACAGCTCTAGCTTCACTCAAAAGGACGTTTAGATACTGGAACCCTTCAGTGTTCAAAACACTATATACCACATTTGTAAGACCACACCTTGAGTATGGAAAGCCTGCATGGGCTCTTATCAACAAAAGCGATGAAAAAGTAATCGAACGAGTACAAAGAAGAGCCACCAAATTATGCTATTCATTAAGAGGAAAAAAATATGAAAATCGACTAGTTCTACTCAATATCCAATCAGTCAAAGCACATAGCATACGGGTAGATGCAATTCAGTACTTTAAGGAAAGTACTAGTATTAATGTTACGTCCTGGATCCACCAACCAAACAAGTCTCGATCTGGCGATTGTCCTGGGCCAGCAGGTGCAGTTAGGGGAAATAAAGAGGGGCTAACCAATTAGCTCACAAATAATTGTCGTCAAAAAGAATACTTTTTCTTAAATAGAGTGGTTGACATTTGGAATATACTTCCAGATGCAGTTAAAAACTCCAAAACTATGAATTCATTTAAAAACAGTTATGACGCCTATTTAAAAACACTATGAAACTTTAAATACAGTTCAGCTGTCATAGTTGACCATACACATTTGGTCAGCTCCGCTTTATGCCACAGCTCTATCTTATTATATATATATATATATATATATATATATATATATATATATATATATATATATATATATATATATATATATATATATATATATATATATTAGGGATGTACCGAAGCTTCGGCTTCGGCTTCAGCATGCCGAAGCTTCGGCAATTTTTTGCCGAATCTTTGGCTTCGGCAAAAAATTTTAAGTAATTAAAGTTATAAGCTACTGTTGTACAAGTTATAAAAATATGCTAATTGCCAGTGTCTAATTAAGTTGTAAATTCAGGACTACAGAGTTAAAGTTGGAGTCTATACCATATACTTAGTATTGTTTACTCCCAAATGTCTTGTTATGGAGGGGGTGATAATAAATAAGTAGAAATATTTTGAATATAATAGTAAAATTAAGGAAGGTCCTCATACACTTTGAAGGCTTCCAAGTGTGACTTAGATGAACTGAATCAGCATTTTTATGCAGAATAAAAACCTTATAATTTAAAACAAATTAAAACTTTTCAAAAATAAAATGGAAAAAAAACCTTAATTTGTATTATGTAACGAATTTATATTAATTTTTGTGTGGGATTACCGCAAATAGAACAAAAATTGGTTTCAACATTTGACCTATAAACCTTAGTAATCTCACTTTAAAGAAGATTAAAGATACGTTGCTACTATTTTAAATTATGTGTATGTTTAATTTTTTTAAATTTTATTTAACCATAATAATAAAAATTTACAAATTTTCATCGTAAGATTACAGAAATTGGTTAGGTGTCACTTATAAAGTTACAAACTAGTCAATAGAGTGACACATAAAAAACATAAAGTTCTCAACAACAAAAAAGGAAGAAAAGCAAATGAAATATAAATGAGGAGAATAAAAAAAGAAAAAAAAAGTCAACCAAAACTATATAAATTAAAAGAAAAAGAAAAACAATGATAATAATTATCCTTGCTCTTTTATTAATATTATGAATACTTCTAAATTGAATTTATATATTAAACATATAAACTTATATTCTGGTTTCTTCTTATGATATGAAGACTTTTAAATTTTATTTAAAATAAATTAAAGATTAAAGCTTTGATTACTTTGAGCTCTTATATTTATCATCAAAATTTATTTAAATTAAATAAACAATTTAAATCAAATAAATATCAGCCTGCTCAGTCCCTGTTTATTTATAAATATAAAATAAATAATAATATAATTATAAATGAAAAATTTATAAAGTATTCTATTTATTGTTTTATTTAAAGCTCACTCTACTGAGTTGTTAGATTACTATAGAAGTTTTTGTAACAGATAGTTAATATTTGATTTCAGATACTGATGCAGATTTATCCATTACAGAGACAGAAGAAGAATGAATACTATAATTTCAGAGTGTAAAAGATTAATAGAAGCTTAAGAAAATGTTATGTAGTGTAAAATTAAAAATAATAATAATAAAAAAAAAAACAACTTAAAAGTGTGTAAAAAAGAAGTTAGAGAGAAATCTATCAATTGTACTTTTTTTTAGCAGCAGGTTCACAACAGTTGTAGTGGAATACAAAATGGTCTTAACTTGGGGTTTTTTTTAGTTTAGAAATTGTTCGTTTAATGAATACAGAGAAGCAAAAAAAAGATATTGAAATAAATAGCAATAAAAAGATAAAGTGTGTTTGTAAGATTTTTTATGTTGTAGATACAACTAGATCAGCTAAGAGTGTTTATTTAGAGAAAGAGTGTTCAAGTGTAAAAGATTAATTTACTTGAG